GTGGTAGTGGTGTTGGTGGTGGTGTTGGTGTTGGTGGTGGTGTTGGTGATGGTGGTGTTGGTGGTGGTGTTGGTGGTGGGTGTGGTGTTGGTGGTGGTGTTGGTGGTGGTGTTGGTGGTGGTGTTGGGGGTGTTGGTGTTGGTGGTGTTGGTGGTGTTGGTGGTGGTATTTGTGGTGGTGTTGGTGGTGTTGGTGGTGGTGTTGGTGGTGTTGGTGGTGGTGTTGGTGTTGGTGGTGTTGGTGGTGTGTGTCTGTATGTGTCTGTGTGCGTCTGTGTTCCCATGCCACCGCATGTGGCCACATGCGCCCGTGTTTGTTTTTGCTGGGAGTTGGAGCTGGGATTGGGGCCAGCATTCGTGAAGTGAGCTTCACTGACTCGACACCAAACACCGGCTCCCTCGCCCCCCTCCCTCCCTCTCTCTGTAACCCACCGGCCAAAGTGATGTGTCAATTGATCCGCTGACTCACCAATTGACCCAAAACCCAGCCCACCCACTGACCCACCCACCCACTCACCACCCATCGACCCACCACCAATTCACTCACTCAGCCACTCACCCGCGGAACAATCCATTCGTCCCAGTGGCTCACTCGCTCACCCATCCACTGCCTCACCCATTCACTGATCCGCCGACTCACTCGTCCATCGACTCATCCACTCACTGACCGACTGATCCACCGACTTGAACTGCTGGCCCCGCTCACCGACCCACCACTCACTGCCCCACTCACCGACCCACCACTCACTGCCCCACTCACCGACCCACCCACTCATCCAGCAACACTGACCCACCACTCACTGACCCACTCACCGACCCACCACTCACTGCCCCACTCACCGACCCACCACTCACTGCCCCACTCACCGACCCACCACTCACTGCCCCACTCACCGACCCACCACTCACTGACCCACTCACCGACCCACCACTCACTGCCCCACTCACCGACCCACCACTCACTGCCCCACTCACCGACCCACCACTCACTGCCCCACTCACCGACCCACCACTCACTGCCCCACTCACCGACCCGCCTGTTGACCCACTGACCCACTGACCCGCTGACCCCGCTAACCACGCCGCCGTCTCCCCTCCCCCCTACGCGCACGCAGACTGCTGCGCTCGCTGCATCCTCGCGTGCCTCTTCTGCGAGTTCCTCACTCTCTGCCGACTCGTCTGCGAGTGTGGTGGAGGTGGTGGTGGTGGAGGTGGTGGTGGCGGTCGCACAGACGCTGCCGCCAGAGGAGCCGGAGCCGCCTGCTGCTGCTGCTGCACGGCTGCAACGGCAGCAGCAGCAGCAGGGGGAGCAGCAGGAGGAGGGGGGGGAGGAGCGGGGGGAGGAGGGGGGGAGGAGTGTGGGGAGGAGTGCGACTGCGACTGCGGCCTGCTCGAGGGCTGCTGCGACTCGTCCGACTGCCTCGAGATCTGCTTCGAGTGCTGCGGCATCTGCCTGGCCTCCTAGACGGCATCGCACTGCCTCCGAGTGACGAGGACATCTGGCTGTCTCCATAGCGACAATAACATCTGGCTGTCTTCATAGCGACAATGACATCTGGCTGTCTCCATAGAGACGAGGACATCTGGCTGTCTCCATAGCGACAATGACATCTGGCTGTCTCCATGGTGACAATGACATCTGGCTGTCTTCATAGAGACAATTACATCTGGCTGTCTCCATAGCGACAATGACATCTGGCTGTCTCCATGGTGACAATGACACCTGCCTGTCTCCATAGTAACAATCACATCTGCCTGTCTCCATAGCGACAATGACATCTGGCTGTCTTCATAGAGACAATGACATCTGGCTGTCTCCATGGTGACAATGACATCTGCCTGTCTCCATGGTGACAATGACATCTGGCTGTCTCCATGGTGACAATGACATCTGGCTGTCTCCATAGAGACGAGGACATCTGCCTGTCTCCATAGTGACAATGACATCTGCCTGTCTCCATAGTGATAATGACACCTAGCTGTCTCCATAGCGACAATGACACCTAGCTGTCTCCATAGTGATGAGGACATCTGCCTGTCTCCATAGAGACGAGGACATCTGCCTGTCTCCATAGTAACAATGACATCTGCCTGTCTCCATAGTGACAATGACATCTGGCTGTCTCCATAGTGATGAGGACATCTGGCTGTCTTCATAGTAACAATGACACCTAGCTGTCTCCATAGCGACAATGACACCTAGCTGTCTCCATAGTGATGAGGACATCTGCCTGTCTCCATAGTGACAATGACACCTAGCTGTCTCTATAGCGACAATGACACCTAGCTGTCTCCATAGTGATGAGGACATCTGCCTGTCTCCATAGTGACAATGACATCTGGCTGTCTCCATGGTGACAATGACTCCTAGCGAATGCTCCATTGCCCATCGGTGCCTTGCTTCAAGTGTGTGTCTGTCTGTGTGTGTGTCGTTGTGTGTGTTTGTCTTTGTGTGTATGTCTTTGTGTGTTTGTCTTTGTGTGTTTGTCGTTGTGTGTGTTTGGGGTGGTGGCGGTGGTTGCGGTGGTTGTGGTGGCGGTGGTGGTGGTTGCGGTGGTTGTGGTGGCGGTGGTGGTGGCGGTGGTGGTTGTGGTGGCGGTGGTGGTGGTTGCGGTGGTTGTGGTGGTGGTGGCGGTGGTGGTGGTAGTTGTGGTGACGGTGGTGGCGATGGTTGTGGTGGTTGTGGTGGATGTGGTCGTGGCGGTGGTGGTGGTGGTTGTGATTATGGTGGTGGTTGTGGTGGTGGTGGTGGTTGCGGTGGTGGTGGCGCTATGTGTGGGCGAGTTGCCGTCTTCCGACCATCTCAGTGAGTCAACCCCTGGGCCTCCTGCCAGCAGCCGCGAGCCTCCCACAAGGCGCACCTAGCCTGGCACAAGAAGCGCTGTACTAGCGTCACCGCCACTTCAATCAAAGACCAGCCACAGGAGTGTGATGGTGGCAATGCAACAAAATATGCACCCGATCGTAAACCCATAGAGACACATAGAGGAATATAGCCATACAGACCCATAGAGATACATAGACACCCATAGAGACCTATAATGATACATAGAGACGCATAGAGATACATAGAGACCCATAGAGATGCATAGAGACCTGTAGAGATAGATAGCGACCCATAGAGATACACATAGATTCATAGATACCCATAGAGACCCATAGAGATTCATAGAGACCCATAGAGACCTATAGAGATACATAGAGACCCATAGAGACCCATAGAGATACATAGAGACCCGTAGAGACCCATGGAGACCCATAGAGATACATAGAGACCCATAGAGACCCGTAGAGATACATAGAGACCCATAGAGATACATATAGACCCATAGAGATACATAGAGACCCATAGAGATACATAGAGACCCATAGAAACCCGTACAGATACATAGAGACCCATAGAGATACATAGAGACCCAGAGACCCATAGAGATACATAGAGACCCATAGAGATACATAGAGACCAATAGAGACCCATAGAGATTCATAGATACCCATAGAGACCCATAGAGATTCATAGAGACCCATAGAGATCCGTAGAGATACATAGAGACCCATAGAGATACATAGAGACCCATAGAGATTCATAGAGACCCACAGAGGCCGTATGGCAAACACCGCCGCTGTCTGCGCTCCATCACCGCAGCAGCAGGAGGAGGAGGAGGAGCAGCAGCGAGCGTCACCACGTGAGCTCTCTCCCTGGGCTGAAGCCCTCTCGTCTTGGCGAGCAGCAGCAGCAGCAGCAGACCTCGACATTGGCATCGAGCTCCTGAACAACAACAACATCGTCAACAACAACAATAAACATCGCTGCTGCTGCCGCTGTTGGGGTTTCGCCCCCGACACCATCGCGCAGCCGAGCGGATCGGTTGAGATCGGATCGCCGCACTCTCTCATTCTCTCCGCTTTATAAATTATTTTACAAAGTTTTTTCATCATCGTCATCATCATCGTTGTTGTTGTTATTTTTGTTGTTATACGAAAACACTATAAAACTGGACGCGGGAGGGTTAGGAGAGAAAAAGTTGGGAAATGTGAACTACTGACAGCCGGTTATACGTTCTCGGTTACGAGACTACGTTAAACTATTACTAAAAGAAACCCGATGTTTTATTTGACCAGGTAAGGCTCACTGAGCTATGCAGCTGTTTTTCAGAAGCGACCTCGCCACCACAAATGATCGCTCAACGAAAGTGGCTTAATCGCGTGGACATTTATAGCAACAGCGAAAAACGCTAAACGCGTGACGTTCATTCTAAATGTGGAGGGAGAAAAAACCGAAGGACCCGGAGACAAATCCACGCGACCACGGGGAGAGAGAGACACGCAAACTCCAAATATACAACAGCAGACGTCAGGGTCGGGATCGAACCCACGACCTCCTGTATACCAGGCGAGGTAGTTAACATCTCCTAGCCACCGTGATGATGATTAGAGCGAGACACGCAAACTCCAAATATACAGCAGCAGGCGTCAGGGTCGGGATCGAACCCACGACCTCCTGTATACCAGGCGAGGTAGTTAACATCTCCTAGCCACCGTGATGATAATGAGAGACACAAACTCCAAATATACAGCAGCAGGCGTCAGGGTCGGGATCGAACCCACGACCTCCTGTATACCAGGCGAGGTAGTTAACATCTAGCCACCGTGGCGAGGGGATTGCTCTGATTGCGGTGAGTTCTTCTCGCACGTGTTTGGACATCAGCCCCTGTAGGGATCGATGTCTGTCCCAATCGATCTGCGATACTGGACATTTGTGACAAAGAGCTTCACAGCTCCTCGGATTTCTCCAGGATAAATATTCTTACGATTAAAGGAATCGCAGCAAACGCGACGGGCGAGAGACGTTACGGTTTTGCTCGTCGAGGAGAAGGTGGCTTATTGATGTTTGTTTGTTGTTGTTGATTAATTTGGAGTGACCATTCGGCTCTCGAGAGGACCGCTGTGTTGTTTCCCCCCCACCCATCCACGGCGTCAGACTCGCCCCGTCCGTTCGGCGGTGATAAATGTATGGAATAAACATCACAAACTCGCGTGCGTCTGTCTGTGTGTGTGTTCGTGTGTGTGTGCGCGTGTGTGTGTGTGCGTGCGCGTGTGTGCGTGCGTGTGTGCGTGCGCGTGTCTGTGTGTGTGTAGCGCCACGAAGTGGCAGTGACGTCACCACGACGCTTGTGCCAGGCTAGGTACACGTTGAGGCCACGTGAAGTGTCGAACGCCCGCCGGCAGGAGGTCACGGGGCAGACCCAGGTGCCACGGGTCGACTGACTGAAATGACTGGCTGATGCACCACCTGTGCCCATTACTGTGCCAACCTGCTGTGCTTTATCCACCCGGCGCTCTGGTCGTTGTTGTGAGCGTCGCTCGTCCGCCCTCCGTTGTTGTTGGAGGGCGACTGCCTCCAACTGCCCAGTAGCGTCCTTCACGAGCCTCATCCACACAGGCCGATCTTGACAGCGCTGGCACCAGTTATCGGCAAGTCCACTCAGCTCCACGTCCTCCTGTACCACATCACTCCATCTCTTCTCTAGCCCGTGCCGCGCCCGTTTCGCCCCCTCGATCCGGCCGAACAAAAGCTGTTTAGGCATGCGGTGGCTGGGCATGCAGGCTACATGACCCAGCCAAAGCAGCATTGCCTGCCGAAAAGAGCTCACCGATGGGACTTAGTCCAGATCTTGCAAGGATTTGTGAGCTCACACAATCCAGCCTAGTTAAACCCAGGATGGATTGTAGGCAGGCCAGCGAAAATGTTTCTAACCGGTGAAGATGTTCCATTAGGGGGTCCACGTTTCGCAAGCACAGAGAAGGGATGGATTGACTGTGGCCGAGAAGATCTGAAGCTTCGTGCGGAGCGACAGACCAGGTAGCTTCCACACAGCATTACGCAACCGATGAAAAGATAATGCCGCTCGACTGATTCGGAGTGAGTCCTCTGCTGTCAAACCGGAGGTGGTCATGAACACACTGCCCAGGTAGGGGAAACTCTCCACTCTCTCCACAACTGCCCTATAACCAATTGGGAGTTGTGGGGGTGGAGTGTCCGATGGTACAGCATACCCAGGCTGGTGTTTAGTTTTGGTGGGGCTGATGGTAAGGCCGCATCTCTTAGTGGCAAGCTCCAGGTTCAGCAAAAGCCCCCCCAACTCCTCCTCTGAGTGATCAGCAATTACCAGATCATCGGCATACATACTGTGACATGGTTGGGCACAGGTGGTGCATCAGCAATCCCTTGACCGCACCCGGGCATCGATCAGCCTCCGATTATATCGGTACCAGATGGAAATTCCTCCGGTACAGCTGCTGAAGGCTTCACGAACTACGTGATCGAAATAGATGTTAAATAATGTGCGAGCCAGAGGACATCCCTGTCGCACCCCAAGGTGAACAGGGAATTGCTCCGACTCCCAGCCACGTAGGTTTACCCGGGCCCGCTCACCATCATGAAGGTCCTTAATGATCGTGAGCAGAGGGTCAGGGACACTGAAAGCACGAAGAACAATCCAGATCCCAGGCCTACTGATGGTATCATAGGCCTTGATCAGGTCAATAAAGCAGAGATGTAGGTCTTGTTGGAATTCCCTACACCCCTGCTGTAGCAGACGGACAGAAAATATGGCATCTATGCAGGACCGCTCTTTCCTGAAACCGCATTGGGACTCTGCAAGCCTCTCCTCAGCGTGCCTGGCAAGGCGATGTTGAATAATCCTTGCCAGGACCTTTCCCGGCACACTGAGGAGTGAGATGCCCCTGTAGTTGTTACAGTCTGTGCGGTCCCCTTTCTTAAAGAGGGGAACCACCAGGGCATCCTTTCAATCCTGCGGAACCCGTCCACTGATCCAGATTGTTGTTATGATGTCATGTAGGGCAGTCTGTGCACAAACGCCACCCTCCCTCAGCATTTCGCTTGGGAGATCATCTCTGCCCGGTGCCTTTCCTGGTCTCAGACTCCGGATCGCCTTCAGTAATTCCTCAAAAAATGGCACCTCAGCCAGCCACTCACAGGGGGTGACTTCTTCTTCTGATATTTGAGGCACCGCAGCCTCAGCAGGGTCATCCCCTCTTTGTCCCACGATGTTTTCCAGGTTGAGGGATTTCCCCTCCCCCAGGACTTCACAAAATGCTCAGCAAATCTGCAAACTTGTTTCTGGGGGTCGGAGATTGGATCACAGTTCTTTCCCCTAATGATGGTAATAGGTGTGGTGCTGCAGGTTACTTTTTTGAAAGAGTTAAATAGAGATTTGTGATCGCGGGCCATTGAGGCAGACTCCATCTCCTCACCACCCATCCTTGCAAGTGCCTCACGGCTCTCCGAACCTCCGAGCGAAGGCTGCGGTAAGCCTCCTCATTCTCCAACGTGGGATGCTGTAGCCGATGACAGTGGGCCAGCCAGCCTGAACACCTCCTCTGTCAGCCAGGGTCTCTGGGGAGGTCTGGACCGCGTACCTAAAGCAGCCATTGCAGCTGCATGAGTCACAGTCCTAAACCTCGCCCATTTACCCTC